AATTAACTGTCGAAATTATGAGAAAAAATTAACTTTGATTTTAAAACAATATTCTTTTTATTAAAAAAACGTTTAAATCAAAGCAATATTGGCGTTAAAACTATTGTATTTCTTTAAAAGATTAGAGCCAATGTTTCGTCCAGGTTGTTAGGGTTTTTTTCAAGGCTAGTTTTATATAATTAAAAATGCAATACTGGTGGATTTGTTTAAGTGGTACATGCTCTATGATCAACAACCATTAACTCTGTAAAACTAAAAATGTAAATAATTAACTAACTAAATAATTATAACACGTCGTATGATTTTGGGGGTCGTACTTGGATTAATAGCCGTGGTCTTAACAAGCTTAATTAGCAGCTAACCAAAAACTGAAACTGCATTTTTAACTAAGTTTAAGAAGGTTTTTTAGTAATACGATACACAGATTAGAGCGTTAAAAGAAATTGCTCTTTTGGTTACGAAAATCAACAAAATTTATAGAAATCCTACAGTCAATGATGAGCTAGATTTAAAAGTAACCAAATTGAGAAACAAAAGATTGCGAATATTCTCAAAATGTGACAAATAATTTAACTCCAAAGTTTTAATCTGATTTTTTTTTTCTAAAACTTTTTAGTGTATATTTCATATAATTAGGACACTTTGCACATTAAAAATTCATAGTGCTATTATGACCATGTACTCATACTTAAAATTTTACTAATTTAATTTGTTATTATCGCATATGCCATGAGTTTTCTCAAATATCACATGGTTATATTGAATTAAAATAAAATTCCCCTAAATTCTTATATGTTGTTATTTTTTTTATTAAATACCTAGTTCCAAATTTCGTAAATACTAAAGATTTTAGGGCTTTTTATTATTCGAGTTATTATAATTAATATTTGTCGAATAGCTTCAGAAACTTTGTCCCTACTGGGTGTCCCACGACACCACACAGCTTGTTTATTTATTTATTTATAACAATTTACGGGCAGTGACTCAATTTATGATAAGGTGTTTAGTAATATAAATATACATAAAAATAGGACAACATTGTAATGCTACGTTCATTAATTAAAGAATGACGATTTCGGAAAATACCTTGAAACACACAAGCTACGTAATATAGATATGAATACAGATAGATTGAAAAGTGGGTATATTAATAAAAAAAGTTCTTAGGCACGTCCTAAGTTCCTAAGTAGCTAGAGTTTAGTTGCATTTATTTCGTTATTCATTAATTTGTAGATGTTGTAAGCCCTCATCTTCGCTCGCATTATACCTTCTATATCGTCTGCACATCAAAATTAGGAGATTTATATAACTTAACTTGGATCAATTTTTTTCATTAGTATCTCTTACTTATCATTACAAATATAAACAATAATAAACAATTGCAGCAACTACAACAGTATTATTAGAATGAAAATTATATTACCACTACAGATAGGTAAAAAATTCGGTAGCAAAGATAGTTTTATTAAAGCTATTCAACTTTACAATAATCTTCCAAATAACCTTAAGACACTTAGTTGCTCTATGTGTCTTAAATTTAAATTAAGAAAATGGTTAATATCAGAAAATATTACTTAAAAAATTAAAATTAAAATAAACAAAAAAAACAATGAAAAATGTTATAAATTTATAAATTTCATATGTAGGTATACAAATATGTGTTTAGTGTCTTTTAAATAATTACTAATAAAAACAACAACAAAACACTTATTAAACAATTAACAAAATTTAGGCCTGGATATAAGCTGCGAACAGCATGACTGCAGTCTAGGGAACTGAAGGTAGACCAGTTTCTTTCAAAATTTGGGTGTTTGTGATGAACCACGGATAGTTGAGTGCGGAATGGAGAATCCGCATATAAGTGCCTTAAAGAATTTGTAGGCGTAGGAGAAAATGCTTCTGATAATTGCATTGAACGCACCGATTTTTATTTGATGGGAGATGGAGCTGTAGTTCTTAGGCTTTCACGGTCGGCGTCTATCGATGCTGTGTTTTCTACCGAACTTTTTGGCCGTGGTCCGTGGAATATTGGTTTTGAAGACGTTTCGCCGTTCTTTGCTGACGGCATCTTCAGTGGTGACTGGGAACGTCATCAGTTACGACTCAACACCTGCTTAGTCACTACTGAAGATTCCATCAGCAAAGAACGGCGAAACGTCTGAAAAAGCAAGATTCCACGGACCACGGCCAAAATGCCCGGAAGAAAACACAGCATCGGAGATGGAGCTGTTAATGAAGCAGGGTATGAGGGAGATAAAGGCGCCTGGGGTCTTGGCATGGGTGGCTAGGATGTACTTTCGCCATGTCAGTGTTCTATCAAAGACGACGCCGAGGTAACTGACGGAGTTGCTCCATTTGATGCGATCGTTGTTAACGGTGATGGCGGGAGGTTTTTGGATCCTATGAGAGAAAAACATTACTTCCGACTTCGCCCCCTAAATTGAGAATTTCCATCTTCGGTACCAATTTAGTAGCAGAGGTAGAAACTTATTAATTCCTGCGAAGCACTTGTGAATGATTCGGGCGAAGGTTATGAGGGTGATGTCATCGGCACAGACAGCTATGACGATCGTGGGATAGGACAGCATGTCTGCGCAGAAAAAGTAGAACATAAGAGGTGACAACTTGGAGCCTTGAGGAACACCAGCAGTGACGGGTTTGCTTGGGAATAAAGCAGAGCCAACGTGGACACGGAGGGTTCCGTCAGAGAGGAAGGAACGGATAAAACCGATTAGGAAATGTGGGGTGTTGAGGGCGATAAGTTTAGTGATGAAACCTTCGTGTCAAACTCGATCGAAGGCTTGCTGAATGTCGAGCAGAAGCATGGAAGTGTGAAGGCGCTTATTTAGGTTGTCAGAAATGTGTTCGGAAACACGGAGAAGGTGATGACTGGTGCCGTGCTGTCTGCGGAAGCCGTGTTGAAAGTCGGGAAGTAGGTTGTTTCGTTCCACGTGGTCGAGAAGCCGGTTCAAAAGGATGGACTCAACTGCTTTGCACAGCCAACTGAGCAGGCTAATAGGCCTGTAGCTTGAAAGAGAGCCGAGGGGGTTCCCTCTTTTGGGAGGATAGATGACAGTGGCTTCTTCCCAGGTCTGAGGGAAAAGGTGGAGCCGCATGGTAGCGTTTGTGATGTCGCAGGATATGGTTATCTGTTAATCGCAGAACTTTTAGGACACCATTGGGAATTCCGTCCGCGCCGGGGGATTTTCTCTTTTTAAGAGATCGGATGGCGAGGGGGGATGTCTGTTTAAAGTCGGAAACAGTTTGGACGACGTTTTGGGAGGCGACGTTAATATGCTCCTGAAAGTCGATAAGATCAACAGGGCGGGAAGTGGGGAGCACTGGAGACAGAGGGAGTCTGTGAAGATTGCAGCTTTTAAACGGCCGGAGGTGTAGGGTTTCGTTTCTAAGAGAGCGCATCACTTTCGAACTGCTTTTGGGATGTGTTTCGG